AATGAATATATCTGAGAAATATACAGGAGGTAAAATATATAGACGCTGGTGAGTCTATTATGTCATGGAATAGGAGAGGTTAAAGAGAATGAGTTCAAAGGGTATTTTTCAGTAAAATTTTGCCCCATATTTCATAGCCTAGAAAATGAATACTCATTTAGGACAAGACAGAAAAAAATCAGAAGGTACCATTTTATGACAAAGTTGCTGTTGCTGTGAGGTCACTTAAGGGGTTTTGCTAGGCTAAAGTACATCCTATCATTGTGTCAATAATCAATTTATTGCCTCTCAACCCCAATTTACCCTTTATTGCCTACTCTGCAAAAATGGTGCTGTACCCTTTAAATATTTTTCCTTTGTCAGCTGGCATGATGTTATACTTTGTTAGTAGAGGGTGCTGGAGAGATATTGCAGGAGGAAGGGCTTTCTTCCTGTTCCAGGTGCTCCTGTTGGTAGGCTCTTGCAGCATGCCTGGCTTCTTCAGGGTCCAGCTCCTGCAATGCTGACAACTTATCCAGTGCCAGGACCCTGCAATGAGGCAGCAGGTAGGGACAGCAGCTTCCTCTGGCACTTCCCTCAGAGTGCACAGCTGTGCATACTCCAGTCAGGTCTGGCTTGCAGCCTGAAGAAGGGCCTATTCTTTGGGTGCTCTTGGTTTTATGGATCCTACTCAGACCTGCTTTTCTCATGTTCTTTAGCATTCTCTTTACTTCTTAGTATCCAATCCCTCCATAGTCCAATTTCCTACTGTGGTTAATAATTCTTTGTATTAAATTTACCCTGTTTAGATTATGTGGCTTTTGTGTGTGGATTGAATCCTGACTCATACAAACATCTCCCAAAGTTTGCTGTTGTGATTCCCTCAGCTTTGAGCTTTTGATCATCCATCTACATTTGTCAACAAGGGGATGCTGGATGTGGCTGACCAACATATAGAGGTTGCTAAGCTGACCGCAGTTTCAATGATTATATCATGAAAGTATTCAAACCATGGTTGCAAACTTCCAAACACCTAGAATCTGGTTTCATTTTTATTTCTATTCAATTTAAAACAAATTTATTATTTTTTTCAATGTTTGAAAATATAACTTATTTTAAATTTAACTATTAGAGTCTTTATGCTTAAATGCTCCACTATGCTACCTCACAATATAAACAGGTAAAATTTGAGATGTAAAATATTAAAAGCAAAGACTATAAAATACTTCATAATATAAGAAATCCAGAGGTTAAGTAGATTCCAGGCCAAGGATGTCTAAGGATAGAAATGTGACAATGTTGATCATTTCTCCCTTTTCTTGATTGTCCTAACACTCCTTTTTTTTTTTTTTTCCATGCCTTCTCAATTTCCTTTACAGGCTCCTCTATCTCTGTCCACACTTTAAAATGTCAATGCTTCCCTGGATTCTGTTCTTGGCTCTCATTTATCATCGATCCTGGGTGAGTTTATACATCCTTAGGTAATGTCTCCTTCATTGGTAGCTGTAGCCTAGTCCTGTTCCCTGAGCTCCAACTTCCTTTATGTGATGCAAGTTCTAGTCTAGGGGTCAGCAGATTACAGCCTGTGAGCCAAATTGAACACACTACTGCCTTTTATATATTGGAACTCAACCACACCCACTTGTTTACATATTGTCTATGGTTGCTTTCCTAATACAATGGCAGAGTGGAGTAATTGTGACAGAGAACATATGGCCTGTGAAACCTACAATATTATCTGGCCCTCCACCGAGTAAGTTGACGGAACCTGTTCTTGCCTAAGTTGTGCCTACTATTGAGTTTTAGGTATGACTGAGCTTGTATTTTTAAATATTGGGGTAGGCCTACCAATAACAGATTTACCTGTGTATGCAAAAAGGAATAAAGATGTAGATTAACTCTGGGATTCACAACCAAGTCCCATAGATAAAGACTACAACAGCAAGGTGAAGATATATTTTGTTAGGAATTCTGTCATGCTGGGGACATAAGGAGTCTAGTGCACAATGCTCATTGCTGTAGAATTACCTAGAGAGCATTTAAAGACAGATTTCAGACCTCATTCCCAGAGATTCTGATTCAGTACATCTGGGGAGGGGCTTGGAAATCTGAAATTTTAGAATGCACTCCAGGTAGTTTGGCTATGTAGCAAGCAAGTTGTCAGGATTTGGAAGTCAAACTGATTGAAAAATCCATTAACCAAGTAAGATAGTCTTTTTATTCTCAATGAATCATTAAAAAGAGGCCAATTCATTTCTCTTGATTTACATAATTCTGAGTTTCTAGCTTTAAGGGAATGGCCATAAAGAATTCAAAATCTCTTAGCAATGATTTTTCTCAACCCCTCTCACTAAGGATTATGTCATAAAAACCTCTCTGTTTCCATGTTGACTGATGTTTTCAAAGTGCTTTCACATCTTCTCTCAACAATCCTGCGAGATAGAGCGTGAGATTCAATTTGCTTGATCATACTGAGCATTTGCTTGGGCTTTACCACACTTCCCAAACCCGTCCATCAGCCTGCCCAGGGCCACTTCCATCCTGTTAATTCATGCGTCCATTCAACAAGATTCCTTTCAACACTTGCCAGCAATTCATCGTTAGTTACCAGAAGATACGGTAGTGAGCTGGACAAAATGCCTGCATGGAGTTTACATTCTAGTTGTGGGCAGCCTCCGCCTAGATGTGCCTCCTGTAGGAAAAACGTCCCCAGCCTCGATCTTCTCATGGGGAATTTCCCCCCAAACCTTATCATGGGAAGGGTCACACCTGCACCCTGGCCAAGCCAGACCCTGGCCTGTGAAGCCGATTCTGCCGCTGCTTCGCGTTTACATCGGTTCTCTCTGAGGTCGTGGGTGCAGATGACCGAGTTATTGGTCTTGTCTCCTGAAGGATGCGACGCCTGTTTGGGATTAGTTCTAAGTCCTCACATGAAGAATGAGTGCTTTTTCGTGATTCTAACATCAAAACGAACCCAGCGCCTCGCCCGGTGGAAGATTCGAGCCTGCGCTTACAGCTTCTCTGTAGTAGGATAATGAAAAATCTAACAAACGGGAACAGTTTCGTAAAAGCAAGCCGAAGAATGTCAGAGCTGGAAGAGACCTCAGAGGCGGAACTCCACCGCCCGTGAGATCGGAAATCCGAAGCCCAGAGAGGTTGTCCGAGCTGCCCGAGGCCACACAGCCCAAGGAGCGTGCGGAACCGGGACCCAACCCCAAACCCGTCCTCGCGTCCCAGTCAGTTCCGCCTGCACACCGCGGCCACCCCGTCTTCCTCTTACTGATTCCGCATCGCTTTCTTAGAGAGTCAAGTTGTTAAAACTTAAAGTCGAGGTTCCGCCTGCACACCGCGGCCACCCCGTCTTCTTCCTCTTATTGATACCGCATCGCTCTTTCTTAGAGAGTCAAGTTGTTAAAACTTAAAGTCGAGGCAATTCCACGAACAGGTGTCCAGGCCACGGACACGGAGTCGGGGGACGTGGGTGTCCACGGGCTCCCACGTGCAAAGTTTGTCCGGACCGTCCGTCCCTTTCAGATCCCTGCCCGCGAGGCCACGGTGCCGGCGGCGGCCTCCGGCGAACTTGGGAGATGCCCT